GTAATCAAAAAGATAATTATAATGAAAAATCTATTGAAGAGAAGAAAACATTACCTTTACCTCCTGATGATGATAATTTACATTATATGCAAACTGAAATTTTGTTTGAACATTTGTGTGTCAAGCATGGATAATTGTTGGGAAGAAATTTGTTGGAAAAGCAAAAAGCCAGAAATAGAATTGCAGGGTGAGAACTTAATTCATTATTCTGAAATAGAAAAAGGAATGTTCAAAAAAATGATCCAAGACATTATCAAAAAACCAAAGGGTCAATCACTTATCACCAAAAACACATACTTGCCATAATGAAGTTATGAATCATACCAAGTTATGTTTTCTTGATAAAAAAATTGATTATCCAAAATCATTTGTTGCAAGGCATTCCATGGCTTTTTTACATAATAATCTTGGTGAACTTGAGACTTGGACCCAAATGCACAATTCATTAGGTGAAATTGGGTCTTTTTCTATACAAGATTTAAAAAATATAGAGAAATATGTGAACAATATGATGTTAAAAGAGAAGAAAATGTAAATAACATAAATGAGAGAAATTCAAAAAAACATGATCAATTGAATCAGTTGAAATATGATATAACTGGATTCAATTTTGATCAAGATTTAATTCCATATGGACTTAGAGTACAAGAAAAATTAAACAACAATGAGTTTCTCCCTTCATTTCATGAATACATTTATAACTTTAAATCTCTGATCAAATGCCAAAATTGTCTTTCTTTTCCTAAATATAGTGCAAATGGCTTATGTAAAGTTTGTTATTTCTATTTCTCACAACAACAATATGATGGAGTTTTAAATAAAAATTTCATTATTACCAAATTTCCTACAAAATCATCAATTTCTCCATCTGTTTTAGCTCTCCAAATAATTTATGGGTATTAAAACTTTCGTTGGGGTCAACAAGAAGCTATAGAGAGTTTTGTTAACAATAAAAATACTTTAGTATTATTACCAACTGGAAGTGGAAAAAAATTATGTTACTCAATTGGATCTTTACTTACAAATGATATTACAATAATACTTAATCCTTTAAAGGCATTGATTGAAGATCAAGTGATTGAGTTAGTTTGTTCTGGAATTCCATCTGTGGGACTATATGCAGCTTCAGATAAACCCCCATCATATCAAGAGCAAGTATTTAGTGAAATTGCATCAAAATTGGTGCAAATCATTTACTTGACTCCAGAAAAATTTGTAGCAAATAAAAGTTTCCAAAATATGTTAAAAAGGATATCAGTGACTTCAAGAGTTCAATTTGTCATTGATGAATCTCATTGTGTATTGGAACACCAATATTTTCGTAATGCTTGGAATGGTATTGCAGAGATACTCAAAAGAGATTTTCCTAATTCTTCAATAATGATGGTTAGTGCAACAATTTCAGAAAAAAATGCTCATACATTGTGTGAAAAAATGAAAATAGAATGGAATAATCTTACAGTGATCAGATCATTATCATTTTCCCACCCTCACATTTTTTTGGAAGTGAAGGAAAAAAAAAAAATCAAGAAATGAAGATAGTTATAACCAGGTTGTTGAGGAAATAAATAATAATCCTGTTGGGAGATGCATAGTATATTGTGCATCTCCCAAAATTTGTGAAGACCTAAAAAATTATTTAACTCTTAAAATCACAAATTTTAGTATTGATTTTTATCATGGTAAATTATCAGGAGA